TCTGTTTCCTCCCGTCAGCAGGACAAACAGGCGGCTGTTTATTTCTGACTGAAGGAGATCTCAGAGTATTTTCATATTTTTCTATTTTGGCAGCAGCTGCTAATAATAAAACCGGAGCTGGTTTTCCACCTGAGCCAGGGCAGCAATAAAACGTCTGTGAGGTGAAGAAGAACTTTAGGACTTTATGGTCTGGAAGTCACTGAGACTGAGATGAAAAACTCACTGCTGCCAGTATTTACAGCCAGACACTGGCCGTGGTTTTCCATCCTGGGTTGTCCTGACTGGAATCGAACCCCAGACTTCCTGTCTACACGGCCACCTCTATCCACTCAAACACTATTTGCTCATCTGCACTTCTTATTTTGAATAGATTTAGTCTTATAACTGGTCCTTGTGTTGAACATACAGACAAGAATCGAACCACTGACTTCCTGGCAGCAGGGCAGCATCAACACACATTGCTCTACCGCTGGATCTCAACGTTTTTTTGCAGTGCCCTGTTTTGTGCACCCCTCCAGTCCCCCGACCCTCGTTCGCTAACACTCACACTTCCAAACGTCACTGAACTTTATTTCAAAGCTAAAACTCCCAGAAGACCACTGCTGTCTCTGAATAAAGGAAATAGAATCACTAATTAGTGCACGTTCACACTGTGGGATAAATAAAGAAAATATTAAAATTGAAAATCATTTGCCTTTCTGCGCCACCTCAGGGGACCTGCCCCCCGCTTTGTGAGCCACATTTCTAATCTACTCTCACTGAATAAACTGCTCAAAGTCTTATCAAATCCTACAGTATCTCAACTCCTCCTGCTGTCTTCTTCTACCCTGGAATCAGTCTTCTCTCATTGTGTTACATTACTTGTCTATTTAATGCACTTTTAGATATATATAGAGAGAGAGAGTTTATGATAAGTTACCTGATCATGTGTTTTCTTCTCATATCAAATGTCTGTTCATTGTCTGGTCTAATTCTCTCCTACATCACCTGTTGTTTCCCTCTTACTCTTCTTAAGGTAAAAAACAAATTAAAAAAAAATGAAAGATTAAAAACAAAGTGAAGCCTCGTCACTGTGTTCTACAGGAATCCCTGCCCCGTGTTGTTTTGACTGACTATCCTTTCAGCACCAAGGACAGCGACACCTCACCGTCAGGAGTTCTTTCTTTTCCCACCTCTCGGGGAAACGGAGCGTAAACACCGAGTGGTTACAACTGGGCAAGGCAACTGTGTTCACCGGTGTAAACACCGAGTGGTTACAACTGGGCAGCAGAAGACGACGCCCCCTACTGTTCTATCGCTTCAGTCACTGCTGCACTAATGTTCTTAGGAAACCTTTACCAGGTTTACACAGAGCGGAGCAGCAAAAAAAGTCTATAAAAGTGGGAAATATGACACTGATATGTCTTGTCATTTTCCCAAAAATCCATTTAAAAAGTCACAGTTGAATCACTTCTCACAAATATTATTGCTGCTTCTATAGGGAAGATCAAATGTGTAATCTGCAGCCCTTGAACCAGACGCTCCCTGTGCTCTGAGCTGCAGATTTTCCCTTTGAACTTTGGTTTAAGGACAACTGTGCATATTCAATTCAATTGTATTTATAGAGTGCATTTCATGCACAAAGCAAAATCAATATTCATAATAATCTAATTATTGTCTTCATTCATTCCCACAGCTTTACCTCACTGCTGTCACACAGAAACAATCAATAGAAATCACAATTCTGAAAAGTGTTTCACTCTCCTGTACCAAAGTCCACAGAGAAAAGGGGCGATTTTAGTGACTGACACACTGGTCCACTGGTCCACTGGTCCACTGGTCCACTGACACTGAAACCATATCTACGAGTTACAAAATAGGTCTTAGTGACTTCTGTGAATCGTTATTCATTATCATTATTACTATCTATGCCACAGACTGACCACAGAAGGCAGCGCTAAACCAGCTTCTCTTGCGTCTCTGAGAGCTAAAATGTGGATTTTCTGAATGGACTCTGGTGTGGAAGACTTTCAAGTCCAGACTTGGCAACCCACTCTGAAAAAAACAGTGCTGACAGCATGTGGAAATGTTTTTCTGGCAGCAGCAGAAAACCACAATTTGACACCAAACGTTGGAGGGATTTTTGTGAATAGCTGAGTGTTAGGAGGACGCTGACATTCCGGGGACAACAGGATCTCCTCTGGCCGTAGGTGTACTCCTCTGTCTGGTGAGGTGTCATCGCTGGTTCAGCGACTCATACATCACTTCTTCCTCCTACTGCTTGTTTGGCTCCAGCAACTACAAACCACACGGTTAGACACAGATGTTTGCAAACTCTGAGCAGAAACCCACTTAGAACTGGACTGGAGCTCCAGCAGCTGTGCTCAGTTCAAAAAGATACAACGCCACAAATGAGGAAATGCCGAATAAGTAGCACGCAATGTCTACGGTTGGAGATAAACAACAACAAATAAAATACAAATAAAAAAACTCCCATCCTAATCAATGACAGGCTCACGGGCCAGAGTTTGAACAGCCTTGACAAGGAGGGTCAGAGCTTTGAAAAAGGTTTCCTTTACTGGGATTGGACCAGAGCTGGACTGCATCTGAGTCAGGATCCCACATGGAAGGTTTTCACTGCACCATCGTCCAGAACCTCCACCTCCACCTGTGGGCTCAGCTGAACCCCAGCAGACCAGGATCGGACAACACCCTGGCCCACGAGCCTGGCACCTGAGCCCGGCTGATCTACGGTGATCTGGGGCTAAGCTGAGCTAAGCCGGGATGATTTATACAGCCACTGTTTGCCAACAGTGAGGAGAATGTGAGGTTTGTAAAAAGCCGGGCGTCGCTGCAGGAATCTAATCTGCGGAGGCGAAGAACAGCTGAGGCCTTTTCTCACCTCAGCACTAAACAAGATTAACTGGAGCAGTTTAGAGGCTTCCTGCAACGGACTGAGCAGCCACATGCACACACACACACACGCACACACACACACACACAAAGCAATCTAACTAGATGGTGCATAGAGCTGCAATGATTACTCAAGTGTTGGGTGACTGAATTACATCATTTTATTTATAACTTCTTCAGTTTCAGCTCCTACGCCGAGGTCCACACAGATCTGACATTTTACATCACAAGGACAAGGACACGGCAGCTGTTAGTCCACCGCCGCCGCTGCCATCGCTAACTTTGAACTCATTACGTTGTCAGTACAGCGTAAAATTCTTCAGTCAGATACAAACTCAGTGACACAAAGTGACCACAGGAGGCAGCAGTGGACCAGCAGCTCTTGTGTCAGGCACTGATATCTCTGGTTCCACTGGACCAACAGAACAGAACCAACTCCATTTCCTGTAAACCCACAAACATTCATCAAACACAACCCAGCTTCTGTCTTCTTCTGCTGCGGCGTCTGTTTCCCGCCACGCACGTCCAGTCGCAGAATGAGGGGGCGGAGCTAATTACCGACACCAGCTGCTGCTGCGCTGACTGAACGAGCAGAAGAAGAAAAAGGTTCTGGAAGCTGCGGCTCTGCAGGAGTGAACTCTGTAAGTGGGTCAGCGGAGAACACAGGTCCACGGGAGGCCTCAGCCCGTGCACACGTGCACACGTGCACTGACACAGCAGACAGTGACGCAACACTGACAGTTATCAGCTGCTGGAGATGAGGAGAGAGGCTGGGATTCTGTCAGATCTGATCTGGAGTCAGTCAGACCATCAGTGGGTCAGCTTTTGCGTTAGCTAACATTTTTGTATAAGTCATTTTACAGAACTAGTGAAAGTGAATTACTGATCGTTGTGACACAGCACACGATTTGTGACCTCTGCTTTTCACCCATCACTGAAGTCAGCAGGGGGCAGTGTAAGGGCCCGGGGAGTGTGTGGTGACGGTGCCATGCTCAGTCTGCTTCCTTAACCACCAAACTAATTTTGGAATTTCTGTTATTTCTATTATTAGGTCAACTTTTTTGGTGGTTCTGGTCATTTTTGTTGACATTATTTCTCCTTATTTAAGGAGGATTGTTGCTTTTAGCCTTTAGCTAATTGTTGCTTCCAGTTTTTGTCTTTATGGATTTTTTTAGTGTCTGGACAAACATACGGAGGAGAAAGTGTGACTCCTCCTCTTCCTCCTCAGAGCTGGAACAGTCGGCATTTGTCCCCTTAGTCACACCCCCTCCCGGCCACCGTTGATTAACATTTCACTCACGTCCAATTCAAAGTTCAGGCTTGTAGATGAAGAGGAGGAGGGGGACGGATTGGAGAGAGAGAGAGAGGAGGTGAAGGAAGAGGAGGAGATCGAGAGGAAGATGAAAGAAAACACCTCAAAACAGGAACATCAGAAGAGGTTCTCCTGCAGGAGAGGAGGAGGAGAGGAGATCATGGACGGACGGATGGATGGATGGATGGATGGATGGATGGATGGATGGATGGATGGATGGATGGTGCAGCAGACACTTCTGAACCAGGGCTGCAGCGCAACTGAGTCTGAACTGAGCAACAGCCTCCTCTCTCCCTCCCTCCCTCTTTCCCCTCCTTCTTTCTTCCTTCTCACCCCCCTCCCCCCCTCCTCGGTCCCCAAGATAATGA